TGTCACTTCTATCCACCCTTCTATTTTCCTTCAACAACTTCTTTTAGAAGGCAGTTTCTGCATAAAACATGACCAATCCAATTAGCCTTCCGTTTTCCTATTTCGTGTAGGATATTCCTCTTCTCACTGACTCTAATTAACACTTCATTTCTCACATAATCGGTCCAACTGATCTTCTCCATCCTTCTCCAACACCACATTTCGAAACTTTCCAGATGTTTCTGATCTACTGCCCTAAGTGTCCATGTTTCAGCCCCATACAGAGCTATGCTCCAAATGTAGCATTTCACTAGTTTCTTCCTCAAATTTAAGTCCAATTTGCTGGTAAAAAGATTCTTCTTCTTGCTAAATGCAGCTTTTGCCATGGCAATCCTGGATTTAATTTCACAAGTACACCTTCCATCATCTGTTAACAAGCTACCCAAATATTTAAAACATTTCACATTCTCCACTTGTTTTTGGTCTATCTTTATTGTGACTGGGGTTGGTTGTCTCGAAATTTTCATTACTTTTGTTTTCTCCACATTCATTTCCATGCCATAGCACCTTCCAATTTCAATTAGTCTATCAATCATGCCCTGTAGCACAGTTTCTTCCTTAGCCATTAACACAAGGTCATCTGCATATTTCACAGTTTGAATAATTTGCCCTCCTACTTTGAAGTCACCAAGCCCATTCAGAGCTTCCATGGTAAGGCATTCGCTGTACAAGTTGAACAGAATTGGTGATAAACAGCATCCTTGTCGAACTCCTCTTCCAATCTGCACACTTCCTGTCTCCCCCGTGTCCAGTCGTACTCTAACTTTCTGATCCATGTACAATTTGCTAATCAATCTTCTTTCATGCCAATCGATACCTGTTTCTTTCAGGATCTGCATTAATTTGGTCCAGTTTACCCGGTCAAATGCCTTCTGCCAGTCTATGAAGCAAACACACAGTTCTTCATCTATCTCCAAAGTTCGTTCCGCTATAATTCTCATCATCCCAATTGCATCCCTGGTTCCTTTTCCTCTTCTAAATCCAAACTGATCTTCTCCAAGTACATCCTCTATTTTCCTTTCAATTCTTCTTTTAAGTATCTTTGCTATTATCTTTGCTGTATGTGCAATAAGACTTATTGTGCGATGGTCGCTGCATTTTGTAGCTTTTGTCTTTTTCTTTAAGGCAATCATTGTAACTTCTGTAAAGTCCTTGGGCCACTCTCCACTTTCATATATGGTGTTCATTAGTTTTGTCAGTGTTTTCAAACCACCTTCTCCCAGTAACTTGAGCACATCTCCAGGTACATCATCATCTCCTGTAGCCTTTCCCTTCCTCATTTCCTTGATAGCTTTTTCCACCTCACTTTGTAAAATATATGGTCCTTTCTCGTCTGTATCTACTTCTTCTTCCGGTTCAACTTCTAAGGTTTCTGGCCGATTAGGTCAATCATATAGTTCTGTAATATAATTTTCCCAAATTTTCAGCACTTGCCTCTGATCTACTATTCTATTCCCCTGGGAGTCTTCGATGCCAACATCTTGAATCCCATGATTCTCTTTCCATCCTAGTTCTTTTGTCTTCATGTACATCAAATCATAACATCCTGTTCTTTGAAATTCTATGATCTCATTACATACCTTCTCAAGATATTCCTTTTTGGCCCTGTCCGTGGCTCTTTTCAATTCATTCCTCAGTCTCCTGTATTTCCTCCTGCCTTCTTCATTGTTGACATTCTTCCATTTCCTTCCTTTTGAAAAATATATGCCACTTGAAAGTGATAGTATATCATCCAGCAGAGGTACCATTACCTTGTTTAAAATAACCTCCCAAAATCTCTTCATTTCAGTGATATGTGAATCAGCCATTAGTCAGTGGTGGGGTATGGACAAGGACAAATTCTGCCTTGTGAGACGTGCAGTCATGGTGATTCAGAGAATGACAGTGACAGGGGAGAACAAAGAATTGTGGCCACAGACAGTAAAAGTGACAGCAGCTCCAATGATAATGGGGGTAATAACATTGCAGGGACAGTAAAAAATGTAAAAAAATCACAAAAATCTAAACCCTGATTCGAAATTGAAATACAAAGCATTTATGATGAATGTGGCAAAGGCCTGGGCTACAGACCACATGGTGGCGGAAGAACCAGGGTCAGACACAGACTTAGTGTGACCAGGACCATCAACTCCCACCCCATGCAGGCCTCATGTGGACCCCCCAGGGCGACTCTCGGGTGATATGCGGAAACATACCCTCATGAAAATTGTGAAGAGTGAACATTCCAAGGGGAAGCATCCTTGTAGGCAATCCTGTGTTTCCACAGTTCACAAAGGGGAATGTTTCCAGAAATATCACACCCTCAAGCACTTCTAGGAGCATTGGTAAGTGTTCTCCAAAAATTTTAGTTCATAAAATTAATTAGCAGATTTTATAATAATTTTTAAAGTGAACAGTGCACAAGTTAGGATAGTAGATTTAAAAATGGCGGCCCCAGGGTGATTTAAATATTTAAATCACAGGTTCGCAATGTGTTAAGGACCATTTCCACATCCTGGTTATATACTGTACGGATCTATGGAATATTAATAAAATGAATGAACTGAATAAATCTGACCATACACACCCTCCATCTTCAAAATCACTTTCATCCATAGTAACAACAAACAATTATCCTGTATATTAGTTACATCATCCATGCTCAGTTTAGCATTGTGTGGTCTGACTCAGCACTTGGCTAGTTACAGACTTAAGATGTTAATTAGTTTAGTTAGTTAGTTAGCTAGCTAGCTTATTTCCAAAAATAACCAGTTACCATACAACTAGGCTTTTAATTAGGAATACAAATATGCCAATTTTATGCTGCAAAAATTTGGAAGGCCCTAAAACTGGACATTTCTCCTCAGAATACAGTTTAAAAACGAGATTCCAAAACCTACAACAAAATCTCTTAACACTATCTTCAAGAGTCTTCACGTATTAATAACGCGGGAGCTATACAAGTCTCCCTGACTTACACACCCCAGATATAACTGGTTATCACTGGTTATCGCACCCGCATCTGTAGCTCGTAACTTGTGAACTGAGAACTCGTTGATAACGCCCTCGCTCGTAGGCTTGCTCGGAACTATCTTCGGCGATGGCCACGTTACAACTCTACTCGACGACTGTTACTTTACAACTCCATTGTAGCTGCTGTGCAGTTCCCTTATATAGCCGCAGTGGTGCCTGTTGCGTGACACGTCACAGGAGTTGTTGGCTGCTGCCTGGCAACCGCGATATCCCTTGGTGACGTCACCGCTGTTGACTCGCGTTGCATAGTTACCAGGTTGCGGGAGCTCGGCTAACTCCGCCTCCGCTCNGCGGCCATTTCTTCTCGCCATGCTTGTCTGTCAGCCTCCCATCTTGCCATGAAATCCTTATGGTCGGCTTTTATCTCTATCAGCATTTCCATTATTCGCTGCAAATCTTGTTTCTCCATTTTGTAGCAGTAGAATAGTCGAAGCAGTCGTATGTTTAATTATTCTTTGAGGCGTATTTAAGCTCGTAAAACCAATTCCGACACCAAATTGTCATGTGTCTTGAGTTCGAATCTTGTTGATCACGTGTGTAAGTTCAAATCCCACTTCTGACACCAGTGTAACGTGTTTCGTTACTGAATACGCCGTAGAGATCGTTAATTGGTTTATTGAACAATCTACAAATATCAGCTACAATTACTTATCACAATATTATGGGTTTCCACACTTTACAAACCCTACAACAAAATCTCTTAACACTATCTTCAAGAGTCTTCACGTATTAATAACGCGGGAGCTATACAAGTCTCCCTGAATTACACACTCCAGAGTTTCCATGTGAACTAACGTAGCATTTAAAATAAGACTTCATTGAATGTAAAATAACAAGACAGTGTGTGAAACTTTTTAGTTTATGTCTAATACTGTGTTTGATGTAGAAGGTATGTATTCTATTGAACATCACGTACAGAGCTATTTATCAAACTGTATAATAATTAAGTTATAATTCCTGCTACTCTCTATCTTGTTGGAAGATTAAAGCAAAACATGATATAAGATCTCATTCAACAATGACTTGATATTAACATCTAGACATAATAAAGGAATGCCAAGCTTATCTAGACTTTTGTGTTTTATAATCTATGTTGAGGCCATGTTAGAGTCATAACAAGCTAAACTGTCTTATGGATTTGAGATGTGGAGAGTTTGCAAAGAAAGTGACAAATAGTTACAAATTTGGACTTGAGTATTGACCATGAATCTGAAAACACAAGCGGTTCAAGTGAACTACTAAGAAATAATGAAAGACACATTCCACAGCTTCAGATAAGGAGACTTTTCAAGGCAGAATAAAGCTGTCCTGCAGACCTTCTGAGAGAGAAAGAGGAAACACAGTCATTGGAGAGAGACCAAAGATTAAAAATAACTAAGGAATACAAATACTGACTAATTGAGATCTAAAAGTAATCAGTAGTCGATACCTATACAATATTCCAACATTGGATATATAGAGAATAATGTGTAGCTGATACCTCAGAACAATGAGCAATTGATACCTATAAATAACAGGAAATAACTGCCTAAATAATGTGATGATACCTAAAAATAATGCCCTATCACTTGAACAGTTAGTAGTCCGTGCAAAAAAACGAGTACTTGATACTTACATGATGCCTTAACATTTGGAATGACCTAATCCTTCCAGTCGCACTATGGCCCTGGTGTTGACTCAGTCTCTAACAGAAATGAGTACCATGAATTAATTAAATAATTTTCCTGGGGAGTAAAGTGCGGCCGGCTTGTAAGGCTGACAACCTCACCACCATCTTTGAGCTGATTGTCTAGATAATGTGGGGCCCTCAATGCGTCACAACCCTATGGGACTTCACAGCCTGGTACAGGGATAGCTTTACTTTTTTTCACTCAGTTTACCTACTGCATACCAACCACTGGCTGAATGGCTTGTTTTATGATATGCACAAATATGTTGAATTATCATACCTGTAGTCATAAAGCTCCAGATGTAGTCCCTGTTCATTGTTATTTGGTTTATATTCTTCAGGTGAACCTTCCTACAATGAAGGAAGACAGTAGCTGGTAGATCTATGAAATTATGAGTGAAAAAATCATGCAAATGTGTTGATGACAGTTAAGTTCTTGCGTAGTTACGCCATGTGGATGTGTTCAATGTTGCTGATTTTTTTAAGGTAAATGCTACTTCTTTCTCCAGAATCAGAGTGTGCATGGTGGGTGAGTTTCTGTGTATATACAGGTTTGTGTTTCAAAAAATCATGTGGGGAAGAGTAGGGGTTTGTGCCTTGCCTGGGCCAATATGGACAATGGACTGGAGACCACTCTATGGTCCTTAGATGTGCTGATGCTTTCCTTGCACAAGTTTCTTGGCCCACTGTCCTCATTAGCCCAACTGGGCCACCAACCCCCACTCTTTCCGTCCTTGGTTTATCACCACATAAACCTATTGTATAAACAGGAAGTCACCCACCATACATATTTTGACCCTGAAGACAGAGGCAATATTGAGAACATCCACACACCGGAACTACTCAAAAGCTGAACTAACCTCAACAGCTGACCACCATGACAGACTAAAATCAATAACATATTATTCATATGTTAAAAGTTACACTCAATTTCCACAGAATAATTTTTAGTATTTCTGAATGCTATAAATAGTCACATATACAGTCTTCATAAGCTACACAAGTGAGTATTTGAGAATAATCCTCATGCTACTTGATGCTGAGATCTCACATCAATATTGGGGCCATAATCACTGACGGTTACTTAAATGGACTACACGTGATAGTGAATTACTTTGGTGGAATGCAGTAAGCCGATTTTCTTGAAGGAACACTTTTGTTGGAGGATATACTCCTCAATGGGATATGGCTTTAGCACAATGACAATGCTCCTCATTTTCATGCCAGGTGTACAACTGGTTCATAACAAACTTCCAGACACATGAACAGATGTGAGGGTCAAAAACCCTCTGGCCTCAGCATTCTACTGAACTGAACCCAATTTACTTTATCATATATGTAGTGTATATCATAAAGTTTGGTAATCCTGAAAATACTGAACTTGAGATACTCACGAATTTACAAGTTTTCAGATCCCCTGAATCCAAAATGTGGTTTTTGGAAATCTGTCTGAATATCTGTATGTAGTGCATGTATGGATGGATGGCTGGACGGGTGTGCACCTGAATGACTGGAAAGAGTTTAGTCATATTCAGTATCACAGAGTTTACACAACGTAGGCTGATGCGTAGTGAATCAGAGCATTCTAGCTCCAAAAATAGGGGCACTTCAAGTGGACCCCAAAACACAAAATGGCAATTTTCTCAAAAATGATTCTAACAATTCTGATTAAATTTTGTTATTTCTGGAGACCATACCCCTAAATGAAACAGCACAGAACTTCATAGCATATGCATTACAGGCTTAAATGCGGAATGATGATTCTGTAAAAAACCTGCTTTACCAGTTGGGACAGACTTCACTATTGTTTGTTATTCAGTAACCAACAGTGGTCTACTGAGCAAGTCTATTTTGTTTTCAATGTGGGTAATGTAATCAAGGTCACTCATAAATGAGAAAGTAAGTGCAATGTGTGTGCACTGAGTTTCCTTACTGAGACGCATCAAAGAAACTGTTTATAGTACAAAAGTTAAAGATCACAACCAACTGCTCAACTGAATCCCAGGAGTTACAACAGAACCTGGGAGCTACTTCAGACAACTGGTTCCAGTCAGGGACGCCACACAACGTTCCTATGAAGCGCATAGATCGTGTGTGCAAGCCATGGTCAGACATTTGTGTTACGTGAATGCAAAATTCAAACTGAAAGCTCCTAATAAAGTTGGAATGTTTGCATTTCATTTACTGTAATTAAAAGAAAGAAAAAAAGAAGGGAAGTTTCTTCTGTGCTTAATTAATTAAGCACCACACCATGACCATGTATGGGGGAGTGAAAGTACAGTTAACTACCACCATTCTTAACCTCGGCATTAGGTGGAGGTTAGGTTCATGCCCCTGGGAACAGAGTCCCTAGTGTCAAATGGATTGGAAATTCAATGGACCCTATAACTGGTCTGGACAATGAAGAAGAGAAAATCTCTTGCCTCTACTAGGAACCAAACCCCAATTTGTCAGCTGTCCAGGCCATAGCCTGTCAGCATACAAAATGAGATAGCCTGTCTCCACAAAGTAATAAATAAAAATGTTAAATGTACAAGGTGGTTCAAATATGACCGGGACTAATTTGTGTGTAAACAGGCCGCACTGCGCAGCAGCTGTGCGAACTTGAGAGAGTGAAGCCACAACATCCACTCTCCCTCCTGTTCAGTCCTGTCTGGGAGTTGCTAGAGTGATGAGCGAACAGATGGTACTGAGGAGCACGGAGCAATGCATTGTGATCAAATTCCTCGTTGGAGAAAATGTCCCGTCCGCCAAAATTCACCACAGACTCCAACAACAGTATTGGGAAGACTGTCTCTCACGGATCCGTGTGTTTGAGTGTTGTAAGTGCTTCAGAGAGGGCAGAGAGCTTGTGGAGAATGAACCACATGATCGTCGGTCGTGAACATCTGTCACCAAGCCAAACATTGATTGTGCAGACGTGCTTTTCGTGAGAATAGGCATATCACTATCAAGGAACTTGGAGCAATGCTNCAATTGTGCAGACGTGCTTATTCGTGAGAATAGGCACATCACTATCAAGGAACTTGGAGTAAGATCCGATCCAAGCAGAAGACAGGTGGAAAGCGGATGCACGCCCCCATACGGCCAAAACAACAATGGAAACCCTTCGGAAATTGAAATGGAACCTTCTGACACATCCGCCGTACAGTCCCNACGGACATGAAGGAAAAGATCCGATCCAAGTGGAAGACAGGTGGAAAGCGGGTAGCCTTCCTTCAAGACAATGCACACCCCCATATGGCCAAAACAACAATGCAAACCCTCCAGAAATTGAAACTGAACCTTCTAACACATCCACCATACAGTCCCGATTTGGCCTCAAGTGATTTCTACCTGTTTGGAAGGCTAAAATCAGACTGCAAAGCATGCAGTTTTTGGATGACACCGTCATCCAGACTGTTAGGGAGTGGATACGCTGCCAACCACAAGCCTTTTTTGAAAAGGGCATCAGGATGCTTCCATAACGTTGGAAAAAATGTGTTAACTCCAGAGGGGAGTATGTTGAAGTATGTGCAAGTAAGTGTTTGGCAATTATGGGCTTAAAAAAATCAGTCTCGGTCATATTTGAACCACCTTATACATAAGTGACAGTATACATGAATGGATAATTATTTCATTTTTTTAAAGTGGAAAAATGTCATACTGAAAAGTTTATTTAAATTTAATGTTCCAAATTCTTTCTTCAACAATGTCCTGAAGCTTTGCCACTGGATTCTGAAGCATCTTGTATATTATCATTATCAGTCCGTTCATGAGACTACTAAGTACCAAGTTCCTTGGTTTCCAAACTGACAGTCAATTAAACTGGAAAATTCACATATATCACTGCATAATACCAACATTACGTTTAATCTTCTATGATTTTCCATGAAATTTCTTTCATTCATCTTCACTGCAGAACTTTTAAGGACAGTGTACTTCACATACTTTCAATCACCCATGTAGTACTGCACAATTTTAGGGGGAAATAAAAGTAACAGTGATGAAATATTCCTTTTGCAGATAAGAGTAATCAGAATTATGCCCATTGCCCTGATGTGAGTTGTCTAAAGGTTTATTTAAGATATTCTGCAAAACCAAACTTGCCTCAAGAGTATGTATTTGCTACAATGATATCTACAGTTGAGAACTATGAAATATCTTAGTCCTCTTCAGAGACTGATGAAGTGAACACTAAGCTCAGATGTGATCTCCACAAACCAGCTGTCAGTCTTAGTGTGTAACGAAGATGTAAGTTATATAGGAATTAAACTGTGTAACAAATTCCTAGTAAGAATTAAAATTCTACCCAGTAACAGTAGACAGTTTCAATTGTCATTAAATAATTCCTTTCCTCCATATACAGAGTAACCGGATGAAAGGTATCCAAAATAAAACAACTATATCTCAGAAAGCTTTCATTATACACATTTATGGGTTACATCACTACAATGGGAAACTGTCGAAGTCTTTTCTGAGTATATAACTTTCTCAATAAATTTCAATGTGGGCTCCCTTGGCAGCACCACAAATATCCAGACAATCCAGCATGTTTGGTGTTACCATAGCCACAGCATTCCTTATGAGAGCTTTCAGGACAATGTAGACAGGACAGGTAGACAATATTCTTCTCATGACCCCACAAGACAAAAATTCAGTGGGGTCAAATATGGCAACCTAGGAGGCCAACCGACTGATCCACTTCTGCCAATCTATCTCCCAGCCATCACTCTGCCCAAGTGATTCCTAACATGATGGCAGAAATGTGGCAGTGCATGCACATAACCTGGGCATGGGTGAAGAAACTTACAGGGTTTTCCTTTCTAATGACATAAATCGGATAAGTGAATGACAATTACTTTCCAAGATATAATTTTTTTCGATACCTTTCATCTGGACACCCAATCCGATACTACATATTCTATTGATGAATCTGTAAACCTCATATAGCAGCCTTTCATTTATACGGTAATTCCCAGTTATCTGATATCCAAGTATCCTGACTTCTCATCCAACCACAAAAAATTTCAAAGAAAACATACCATTTTTACAAATTTATTTAAAAACAAAATTTACAATGTGCATAGATATTTCCACCCACCATGTGGTCGTTCTCCAGCCAGCCATAGCACTGTCCTCCCTCACACATGTGCCATTACAGCAGGGGCTAGCTCAATCTGTGATCGTGTTACAGTACATGTATCCCAAATCTTAAAAAATAGGCCCAATTTTTCATACATGGAATGGGAATTTACTGTATATGGAACTATAAAATTTACTGTTGAATAACTGTAAGGAGTTCCTCATTTATGTAACAATTAAGTTTACTGCGTGTCTTGCGCTCACTTGACTTCCTTGCTTCTTTTTTTATTTGTTCCACATTAACAAGGAGTTACGGAATGTAATAATCTATCAATGTGCAAATGGAATAGGATAAGATTTCTACTGGGAGATCATTTGTAGGCTAATCCAAAGCATGGGCCTTCTGTTATGTGTGAACTCTGTGTCAACTGACACTTCTTCTATTTGTCACCTATGGTCACAGGGAAAGTGGTGCAACTTTGAATAATGAAACTTATATACATGCATTAGATGGGATACTGAAAATATTCCTCCATTCAAATGGGTATATTTTTCACAACTGCTAAACTGATTCTTGCTCACAGCACAATTTTCCTCTGAACACCTTAATCTGTATTTTCCTTTGAAGTTCTTCATGTTTGGATTGGTTTGATGGACTTATCTCTTAAATATCTCACAAGAAACCACACTGAGTAATGTCTATAGAGAATAGTGCGGCTATAAACCATGACCTATAACCCTTTCATCATACATTTCATTCAAGATTTTCCTGCATGGAATGTTGGTGGTATATGCAGTAGCATGATCCCACTGGAAATGTTGACAGCATTTCCTTTGTCTGACAGTTGCATGGGAAATGGCTGCAGTACCCGCTTAGCATATGCACTGGGTCAATTACCTTCCTTGCACTCAGGGTACACAAAATATCAACTTTTAAATCATGGAGTGGAACTTCATTTATAAAATGTGATTCTTTTATGCTCTAGTGTCTTTAATCTTGAGCACCTAAGTATCCATTCAAACAAAAAAAAAAGCTTTGTGGAAAGAAACTTATGATCAGGTTTACTATCATGAATTGACTGAAATCACCAGTTATGGAAACGAAATCTTGCTGCTACAGCATGTGGCTGAAATAGCATTGTAGCAGTTTCTGTGGTCCCTTTTGATACTGTTTCTTGTGCAAGGCTCATAAGAGACTTACAGGATGAATATTCAAACTGAGATCCAGTTTCATCCTCTCTTCTTCTGTCGATACTTGGCACTGATGTTTCAGTTTCCTGTCCATCAACACATCAGTTATTCTGAGTAGTGTTTCTATAGGGAACTCAAACTGCATGAAACTTTCTGATACATCCTAGTAGATAAGATTCATTTAAAATCACACAATGCTTCACTGTAAATTTATCTGTCTTACACAAAAGAAACCTTACATGAATCATAGGTGAATACCACTACAAAGTACACACTTCCTCTTATCACCACTACTGACTCTTCAGAGTACATAAAAAACGAAGAAATCACTGAGCATAGCAGAAAAGCTGTGCTTTTGCTCATAATTTCAATGCATTTAAAGATATTGGTATTAATTATCAAATTCTGTCTCATGTCTAGTAAGTAAGTTTCAAATTCTCTCTTTCTCACTAAATGCAATCAATAATCCAATCTGCTGTGGAATTTCATACACATGCCAAAAAGACTTCTTGTAGGTAAAATGTAAATGCGAAAATGAAGTTCATTCTGAATCATGCCCTTTCACTTTTGGTAGCAGTGCAAAAATATCAGCCACGCAACACCATATGTAGCTAATATAACTCTAACCAACTTGACACCAGGGTGGAAATGGTAATCTCGACCCTTGGGAACTACTCTTACATCCTAAACCAACCACCTGTCTCACCTCCAGTTCACACTTCACTTCAACAAAATTCATTGGTTCTCCATCCTCTTGATTCATGTTGATGTGCTGAATGTCACTGCCAGTAGGCCGTGTTTCTTCCTCTGAACTGGGTTCAACCTTGATATCATCCATTTTGTGCTGTAAAAAAAAACTTTTTGCTAGTACGATCAAATATAAAATAGTAGCATCATCGAAGGCACATATTCATTCATATTTAATATTCATATTTACTGTGTCTTCCATAGATCTATATACATAGATATATTACATTACATTGCATTGCATTCCATGTACCCAATGTTAGTCAAAATGACTGTAGGATGTATACAAAACATGTACAGACCCAATGGAGTTCTCACACAAGAGAAACTAAGAATACACAGTGACTACACACAAGGCTATTTAAAGATACACAAGCTATTTTCTAGACAACAGGTATTCATCAGCAGAGTAGAATGAATGTGTATTTAAGTATCGTTTCAGTGCTATTTTAAATCGTGCCTTTTCATTCATAAGACCTTTGAGATCAGATGGCAGGTTATTAAAAATTTAATCCCAGCATAATATGCGCTTTTCTGAAAGCATGAGAGGTTAGCAACTGGTTTATGAAGACAGTGTTTGTGTCTTGTGTTAACACTGTGTATATCCACATTATTCTGAAAATGTTCTTTGTTATTTGTAATGAAGTTTATTAATGAATATATATATAATCACAAGGAAAAGTTAAGATCTGCAGTCTCTTCAAAAGATCTCTACAGAAATTATGGGACTTGACACCCATCATGATTCTAACAATTTTCTTTCACAATGTAAACACCTCTTTACTGATAGATGAATTACCCCAGAAATTTATTCCATACATCATTAAAGAGTGAAAGTAAGCAAAACAGATTGATTTGAGTGTCAATGTTACTAATATGTAACATGAATCTACCTGCATAACATGCTTTACTTAGCTTTGGAATCAACTGAGCGATATGGTTTTCCCAGTTTAAATGATTATCAAATTGCAAGTCAAGGAACTTTGTGTTTACTCCCTCTTCTATATATTTATCATTATATCCTATGTTTAATGGATATTGTGGTGAGTTTTCTGTTATAAATTTTATTACATTTGTTTTTTCTAGGTTCATGGACAGGTAAATTTTTACCAGAAATTATAACACTAGTGTCATCTGCAAATATTATAGGTATTGATGAGGTCCTTAGTGTAGGAGGTAGGTCATTTATATAAATTATGAGAAGCAAAGGCCCCAAAATTGACTCCTGTGGAACTCCATGTTTTATTATTCCCCAGTTAAAGTAGGTACTTTGGATTGAATTTGATGATTTTATTTCAATCTTTTATGTAGGATCTGAACCAACTTAACGTTGTTCCTTGTATGCCAAAAAAATGTAATTTAGTTAATAAGAGTTCATGATTTACACAGTTAAAAGCCTTTGCCAAGTCACAGAATATTCCACCAATATGCATTTTTTTATTAATACAGTTAACGGGCTACTGATTACAGATGCACAAATTTTTAAAATTTTACTTGTTATTCCATCATAACCTGAAGAGTTTCTTGATTTGAGGGAATGTACAGTGGAACCTTGCTTAACGAGCACCTCTCATACCAAGTAATTCGCATAACGAGCAAAATAAATTGTAAAAAAATGACTCACTTAACAAGCGACGTTTCGCATAATGAGTGACAAGATGGGAAGCCCCGGATTGTGCGCTTGCTACATCAGTCTGTGTTTAGCGCTCGTTCCACTAGCATCTTAGTGTCGCTTGTTCCAAACTTGTGTTCAGACATATTATTAGTGATTTTTTTTGTGCAAAGTTTAATAACCCTTGCAAAAATGTCCCCGAAGAAAAAGCCGCAAAAAGACAGCCATAAGAGAATAAAAATAACCATAGAAATGAAAGTAAAATCACTGAAAAGCGAGAACGAGGTGTGAGCATGGCTGATCTAGCACGCACATACAATCGGTCTACATCAACAATTTGCACCATTTGGAGTTGCACTGTGTTTCACAGCAAGAACTTGTGGAGGAGAATTTGTCAGAGGAGGAGGAGGAGGAGGAGGTAACAGCAAAGCAACAATCTTCTGGCACAATAAGAGAAATGCTGAAAGCATCGGAAACTGTTGCATCATGCATTGAGAAGCATCACCCTAATAAGGTAGTGGCTATGCGCACTACAAATTTATTTAATGAAAATGCTGTGTTGCATTTTCACTAAATTTTGGAGCGTTGGCAAAAACAAATGTCTCTAGACAGCTTTCTAGTAAAAAATAATTAGATATGTATCATAAATAATGAACTAATTATTTCGATTTTTTTTTTTTGTTTTCTGCAAATCGAATTCACATTCCAGGTTGGTTCATTCCGCATAGAAGAAAAGATGAAGATGATTCACGCTCCTTAACAATGTATATATAATTTTCTTTGAATAAACGTTATACATAAAATTATTGGAGTATTTTTTTTTCAGCATGGAACACATTATCGTATTTTACATTAATTTATATGGGAAAAATTGTTTCGCTTAACGAGTGTTTCACATTACGAGTAAAATTCTGGAACGAATTATGCTTGTTAAGCGAGGTTCCAATGTATTATACTTTTTATTCTAGTTTCAGTGGTTGGAATGGTCTTAACGCCAGGTAATTTTCTAGAAATGAAATGACATTACCTCCCAATTCTTAATGCAAGTTTAGATTTTCTGTAATTGTTAGAAAAAAAGTATTGAAGACATCTGCAATTTCTCCTGGGTCCTCAACTTTTTCATCATTTATAAGGAGAGATGGTGTCTCTTCAGTCATATGTGAGTTTCCTGTTTCATGTTTTATTATATTCCAGGTTGTTTTTATGTGATTATTCAATTTTTCTATAAGCCTACAGTAATGCTGCCGTTTAGCCTCTTTTATAACTCTACTCAGGATTTTGCAATACCTTATGTAGTATGCTCTCATGTAGGGATTATTACTGACCCTGCTGTCTACATACAGGTGCCTTTTATGCTTACATGATATTTTTATTCCTTGTGTAATCCTGTGTTTTTTTTTTATTCCACTTATATACAAGCCATCATCTTTTATACTAGATAACGAAACAATAAGATATTTAATCATACACTATAAAACTGACTGGATATCACAAAGAATAAAACATACATATGCCTCTACGAAAGGCCACATCTAATGTATCACTCACTATGCAAGGTAACACTACAACAAAATTGAGCATACAATGTAAATCAGACTGTACATCCATTTCAGGATAACAATCATTTATGTACAAAATATAAAACATGCACATACACCTACAATAGGCCACATATATCACTCTTATCAAAATACATGCCTTAATTATAAAATCTTATTTTTCAATCTTATTTCTAGTAATGTTACAATTCAAAAAATTCCTCAATGGTATAAAAAGAATTCTGTAATAAGAATGTTGTCAACTTAGATTTAAAATTCTTTGTGTCATTAAACACAGAATTCATTTCAGTCAGCAGATGGTTGAAGATTTTTACTCCCATATAACATACTCCTTTTTGGAATTCAAAGAGCACAAAGAACTCAATCCAAACTCATATTGCAAAATAATTTCTCAGACTTATGTGCTTCAATGAACATAAACCTAACATCACAGGTTTAGAATTCTATCATCTGGGATATAACACTGTGTAGTCTATTAAACATCAAGCAAATTTGGAGGAACATGCTGCCTCACTTTTCAGGGTTGAGGAGTAAGCCAAGCAAGATGCCTGGTTTCTTGCGTGGCTTATTCTATTACCCCGATATGGAGGTTCGTCCATTCATTCATTCATTTCCTTTATTTTCCATATATCCATACAGGTAACAAACCTAGGATGTGGAAATATTCCCCTTTAAAAGAGATATATCAAGAAACATACACAAAATTACATGAGGCACAAGATTAAAATCACTTACATTAATTGACTAACATAAATAATCATATAAAGTAAGTAAAAAAAAGTAAAGCTATCCCTGTAACAGGCCGTGAAGGCCCATAGGGTTGTGAGACGTTAAGGGTCCCACATTACCTTGACAATCGGCTCAGAGATGGTGGTAAGGTTGTCAGCCTTAGGCGCCGGCCACGCTTCACTCTCCAGGAAAATTATTTAATTAATTCCTGGTACTCATTTCTGTTAGAGGCTGAGTAAACCCCAGGGCCTAGTGAGGCCGGAAGGATTAGGTCAATTTAAAAAATCCAATGACCTCATCGGGACTTGAACCCGCAACCTTCTGGCTTGTAGCATAGTACCTTAACCACTATGCTACCGCATAGTAAAGTGAAAAAAATTAATAAGGTTTTAATTAATAAACATAATTTAAAAATAACTTACTATAAAACTTGAATTAATACAATTTTAAGTTACCTATATTAACTGAATTAAATACATTAAAAATTTACACACTTATGACCAACTGTATTGATAATATTCATTCATAGAATAAAAAGGACGATACAAAAACCTCTTCAATGCAGATTTAAAACTTCTCACATCAGTAGCCAACATTTTTATTGTTTGAGGAAGATGATTAAAAACTTTGATACCTGCTATGTACGCACCTTTATTCTACTTTGTTAGTTTAACTGCAGGTAAATAGAAATTATTGAGGGCCCTAGTTTTATATTTGTGAATCTCATTGTTAAAATTAAATAAATGAATGTTATTCTTTCCAAATTCTTAAAAATGTCCCTACAAGACTCTCTTGATCTAGAATTCGTTATAATTCTGATAACTTTCTTTTGCAATATAAAAACTCCGTTAACACAAGAAGAGCCATCCCAAAAAAATATACCATAACTTATGACAGAATGTATATGAGCAAAATAAATTAACTTTAACGTATCTAAAGGTACAATATATTTTATATTTCTCAATGCATAACACGCAATGGAAATTTTATTAATAACAGAATCAATATGCTGCTTCCATGAAAGAGTATCATCAAAAATTAATTCCAGAAATTTTGTCTCAGTCACATTTGTTATATTTATCTGATCATAGTTAATTTGAGTAGTGATATTATAATAATTCATACATCAAAACTTGACATACTGAGTCTTATTAATATTCAAAGTAAGCAAATTAGCATTAAACCATGGATTTATTATCTTTGAAAGTTTAATTAATATTTATTTCAAAGTTTAACTTATTATAATACTGGTGTCATCGGCAAACAACACATTAATATTATTTTTATTTATTATTTTTTGTAATTCATTAATAGAAAGTAGAAAAAAACAAGGGACCAAGAATCGAGCCCTGTGGAACACTACATTTGTTTCCCATTTGGATGAGTTGTTACTGTCAGTTCTATTACCCAGTACAACTCTATAATATCTATCTGTCAAATAAGATCCAACAAGTGTTTTGAATTTTCCCTCAGCTCCATAGAATTCCAATTTATCCAATAATATTTTATGGTTAACACAATCAAATGCCTTTTGTGAATCACAAAAAATGCCTCCCACAATTAACTTATTATTCATCGCAGTTACAATATTATTTATCAATGTAAAAGCTGCCGTCTCAGTCGAGGAGTGTGTCCTAAAACCATATTATTCGTGTACCAACACATTATTTGCTTCAATATGAGTAATAAGTCTCGCATATATGAGTTTTTCAATGATCTTAGAAAAAGAAGTCAACAATGATGTAGGTCTATACCTGGATATATTAGGAGTCTTCCCTTTTTTAAATCATGGTTTAACTATGACAAATTTTAATCCATCAGGAAAAATACCAGTATTACGTACTGCATTACAAATATGAGAAAGTGGAGAAATTACAAATGGTGAATTTAATTTTATTATTCTGTTTGAAATTTCATCATATCCATTTGAGTTTTTAGTCTTTAATGATTTAATAGTGTTTTCAATTTCATAAGTGGAGGCACACTGCTAATTCATTGTAGTAAAAGGTCTTCTAACCGGTCATGGTAGCTGAACGGTCTAAGGCATGCACTGTCTTCGCTTGCTCGGAAGCCGGGATCGTGGGTTCAAATCCCACTCAGGGCATGGATGTTTGTGTGCGTTTTTCTGTGTTTGTCTACAGGTAGAGGCCTTGCAACGAGTTGATCACTCACCCAAGCAGTCCTACTGTATGTGTAAGATCTAGAAAAACCGAAGTGAACGGAATTCATGGAGGTAGGCCTAGGCCCACTGGAGCTGTAGTCCCAAGGAAAATAAAGGTCTACTAAATGTATTTACTAATTAACTGATTGGATTGGATGAATTGGAGTTTAAATATTTATAATTATCTGATATAATAGAATAAGTTATTGATAGAAGGTGTTTATTAAAAGCATTAGCAATTTTGTTCCGATTTGTTATTACTTTATTATCTAACATTATGGAATGAATACATCTATTCCTTTTTATTTTCCAAGCAGTTTTCATTTTATTTTTAGAATCAAGGATAATTCTATTGTAATATAATTTTTTGCAGATATAATTACTTCTGATAATATTTTACAGTATTGTTTATAATTATTTTAAGATTTGAATCATCACTATGTCTGCATAATAACAAGAATTCTCTCTTTCTTTCACATGAGGTCATTGTTTTTTTGTAATCCATTTATTATTAATAATATTATATTTGATTTTCTTTCTTGGGAAACTGGCATAAAAACATCTTAAATAAGTATTATGAAAGTTGTTGAACATGTTATTAACATTATTATTCCCAAATGCGGCGGCCTGGGTTCGACAAAGTGGCGCTGTGGCGGGCTTTCTCCAAGTACTTCAGTTTCCCCTGCCAATCTTCATTCCACCAAATTCTCCATCATCATAATCACCCGGGGCAGGCTACAATACGCCAATCAGTAGCCACCGTGCTGAGTGAACCCAGTTGGACTCCAACCCCCACTAAGCAAATTTTAATTATTCCCAAAAATATTATCCCACTGTTTCAAACTTAATAAAATTTGAAATTCAGCTATATTATTTTTATTAATGTTTGTAGCAAGGTTAGATCCACATGTATTATTAGATACAGTAATATTCTTAAATGTTACGAGGTGCGCATCATGATCAGGTATGTTCCTCTGAAATGTCAATTGACTTTCAGTAGACTACATGGAGTTATATCCCAGATGATGGAATTCTAGACCGGTGATGTAAGGCTTCCATATATGAAAGTGGAGAGTGGCCCAAGGACTTTACAGAAGTTACAATGATTGCCTTAAGGAAAAAGACAAAAGGTACAAAATGCAGCGACCATCGCACAATAAACCTTACTGCACATACAGCAAAGATAATAGCAAAGATACAGGGATGCAATTGGGATGATGAGAATTATAGTGGAATGAACTTTGGAGATAGATGAAGAACTGTGTGTTTGCTTCATAGACTGGCAGAAGGCATTTGACCGGGTAAACTGGACCAAATTAATGCAGATCCTGAAAGAAACNTAAGTGGAGGAACTGTTTTGGAAGAGACTGTGGACCTGTCGTCTTGACAGATTACAGATGATGATGATGATGATGATGATGTAAGGCTTATGTACATTGCACTCAAAATTTCGTGCACCCTAACCATACTCGAGCCAAGTGGCGTTAGTTTTAAAAAATCGACGCACCACGCTCAGGACAAGAACGTCATGCGTACATACCATATTCTGAAGGTTTAGCGAATATACGTGGTAATCTGCTGTTTTTAATAGGCCACACTGACATTGGGCATTTCTTTTGAATGTCAATATCCTCAAGACGAGTGATACGAATTATTTTGCACAAGATGTAAGACATCTACAAGTACCAATATACACACTGGTAACTTATGGATGTAAAAAATATAAGTAAACACCATCCATAGTTTAAAAAAGCATCAATAATTTTTCAGTTATTATCTGGCTGAAATAGGAAAAATTCATTCGACTTACCTTTATTTAAAAAATGGATACAATTCCATTCCAATGCCTAAACAAGTCCCGCCTCGTGCTGCCTTTCACGCACGGCCACTTTGATTCTGTGTATATACCTTTTGCTTATCTCTGCAATACAGTGCAATACTACTCCCGTCATTAAAGTCATTAACACCAGCAAAAATGGAGTACGGTGTCTGTCACGGTTGTTGCTGTCAGTTCAGTCCTCTTCAGAATCTCATTTTCTCGGTCTCAGTAAATATATGGCTTTAAATGCCGGCACTGTAGGGTATTGAAGAAATACCCTGGATGATACGAAGCCCTGGTACATTGTTTAAGGAAGCTGTTGCAGAGATCAATTGGAGGTGAATATGTAATTATTTTTTCACAAATTCGCCTTTATGTGCTTCATGTGGGTACTACAAAAGCTACAGAATGATTCTAACGCTTGTATCACATTATCGCTCAAGCCACGCTCACGCTCTCGGGACACTCACGCTCATGTCACGCTCCAAGGTAGTCACACCACGACGCTCAGGAGTTTAGATGGAAGTGAACGAAATGAATTTTTCTGACGAAGAACTTCTATTGATTGCGGTATTGTTAGATGATGATGAAAGGAAACCTACAGGAAGAAGAAAATGGGTGCACCCTTCTTTGCTTTCTAGAGCAACGGAGGGGGAGTTTCATACACTATTTCCACAGTTACTGGATGATGAAACTAAATTCTTTCAGTACTTCAGGATGTCCAGGCAACAGTTCGAAATACTGCTTTCGAAAATTGGGAGTGACTTGAAGAAACCGGACACCACATTTCGCGCAGCTATTTCACCAAGAGAGAAATTAGCAGTTTGTTTAAGGTAAGGAAAAATAATAGTTTCTTCTTTTTAAAATGTGTTTAATAATAAAAATGAAACATTTACAATATCTACGCACTGGAAGAGTTCATAGCATTTTATTCAATATGATTCTGGAGAGAAATTAGAAAAAAAATTAGAGCAAGCAGAATTGGAGTCAGTAGAGGATGCCGGAGAAATGGGTGATGGTGGTTGGGAGCTCTGCGACATTTTCGGATTTCCGACATATGTGAATTCTGAACCAGCTGATGGACCTCCTAAGTTGGTGCTATGAAAATTACTTTGAGGGGAAGGAGGATGGGGCATTAAATATTTGGCTTCCATCTGAGATACGAGGTTGTAAATTTGATTCCTTATTAGGTGTTGGTCGACAGGAGAAAAAGTTTTAACCGTTTTGACCATAGATTCAAAAAACAGTTCCAAAGAGTCCTTTTCTTTATCTTTATCTGTAGTTTGCTGTCTGTTTTTGAGTAAATATTTCATCACAGTAGCAGATGCTGTTTCCTGAGGTCTGCTTGAACGGTTGCATTTCTTTTTAGGTGTGGAAATCGAAACCGACTTGGACAGTTCACGTTTTCTGTGGGAATCTGGAGGTGGAGATATCTGTTCCACTGATACTTCATATTCTGTATCATCTTGTTCATTTTCTTCGAGTTCATCCCCTCCTTTTTGCTCTTCTATGTCCAATGATGAAATTCTTTCTTTGTCTCTCATGTATGAAATCAAAAAAGACATGCTATCCTCAAATTTCCATTTACGAATATTAGCAGCTGCTTGGCCACTTACGGTGTTGTATTTCTGAACAACTTTTCGGTGTTGACTTCTTAAACTCATCCACCTGTGCTTACATTCTCCGCCTGTGAAAGGGAAGATAATTACAAAAGTGACATACGAGTATATAACCAAAAGTTAGACACAAAACACACTCACCCATACACACGAGTGAGCACCAACTAACTGGCAGTTGACCAAAATGGTCCTTGACACATCGTAAACGTTGCTTTTTATATTGTTAAAATATTAAATATAGGCTTATTTATAAACTAAAAACAATTAATTGTAAAGTAGTTGTTGAATTTATAATTAATTTTTAAATTACAAGAATAAATACGAATATAATATTAAATTTTACCAAATTTATGAATATAATAAATTTACAATATTGATTATCAGTACCTATATAATTTGTGAAGTTATAAATATAAAAATATTAATTCTCTAATATTTATATTTCAATAACTAAATAATATTAATGTATTAAAATATTGTCCTGTAATGTAAATAAATATAAAATATATATATTCTACAATGGGCTGTTGTTTTGTTCACAGGTTCCTAGCCACTGGGGACTCATTTCGAACCATAGCGTTCAGTTTTCGACTAGGGTATTGTACGGTTCAGAATGCAGTTCATGGAGTTTGCAAAGCTATTGTAAAAAATATGTTGCAGGAAGTAATGCCTACTCCAACAAAAAATGAGTGGGAGAGAAATGCAAGAGAATTTTGGGATCAGTGGCAGTTTCCCAATTGTTTAGGATCTTTGGATGGAAAACATGTTGTGATAGAGGCTCCTCAAAATTCTGGTTCCCTCTACTTCAATTACAAGAAAACATTTTCAATAGTTTTATTGGCACTTGTTGATGCTAATTACAAATTTATAGCAGTAGACATTGGGTCTTATGGACGGAGTAGTGATGGTGGAATATTTTCCACTTCAAAGCTTGGAAGGCGTTTAGAAATGGGAACTCTAGACATTCCAGAAGATGCACTGCTGCCGGGAACACAACAACTGGCTCCATACGTAATTGTTGGTGATCCGGCCTTTCCATTAAAAAAATACTTGATGAGGCCCTTCCCTGGTCTACAAGTCGAAAACCGTATCGAGAGACGCATTTTCAACTACAGGTTGTCTCGCACCCGTAGGGTTGTTGAAAATGCCTTTGGAATTCTGACACAAAAGTTTAGAATTTACAACAGAAGACTGAAATTAGCGCCTAAATATGCTGAAAAGGTGGTTTTAGCCACATGCATTTTGCACAATTTCATTCGCGCAGGAACTGCTGCAACGCCTTTGAATGATGACCAGATAATGGCAGGCAATTTGACGGACTTATCGAGACAAGGCGGAAATTGTTCAACAATAGCTTTTGAAATAAGAGAGATATTCACAAGATTCCTTAATTCAGAACAAGGTTTCGTCCCTTGGCAAGACAATATGATTTAAACAAATGTATTTCTAACTGTATTTGTTTGATGCTAATAAAGTTATTATTGAAAGTTACCAGATTTTTTTAACGCTGTTCCGATCTCTTCCCACACTTTCTTCTTATGTACATTATCACAGTACAATTTGTGTGTTAAATCGTAAAGCTCAGGCTTGGCACGAACAAGTTCAATCAATTCTTCCTCCATGCTTTGATTGGTGAAATGAAAGAAAAATGAGAAGCAGAACCTTTGAGCTCGGGACTCGCGCGCAGTCTTGGTCACACTAGACGCTCAGCTCGAGGTACACTCAGAGTCGAACGCTCAAAATATTCTCGGCGATGATTGCGGCGCTCACTGTGAGTGCGCGTGAGCGTGGCGTGCACCCCAGTATGATCAATCCTATAACTTTTACATTGTTTGGATTTTAACTGTTGCGTGAGCGGAGCGTGAGCATCCCTATAATGTGATACAACCTTAATGATGCCACTTCCTATTATTGTACTCTTTGGGCTCTTTGGGTGAAAGTAGGGGGGAGGGGTTCCGCGCTGTGAGGTCGCAGATGGATAGCGAGGAACAGGCATGAGTGGTATGATCGGTATGATATTTGGAAGGTAGTACCAGTAACAACAGCCAAGATGGCCACGACAACGCAGTTCGTAGATGGTAGATGTGCATGCAGTGTATGTGCGCAATGGAAATGCTCTCGCTGCATTTGGGGAATATCGGCATCTCTATCCAGATTGTAGATAGCGTTACCGACTTTATTTGAAACGACTAATCGTAATGAGAGAAACAAGACATCCTCATGCCACGCACGTGTTGACGCTGAAAGACATGTGCACGATGCGCACGATGATACATCAGCCAGCAGCCGTCAGGTTATTACTGCTGCACGATTTTCTCACAGTTCAGCATGGCGAACTTCGCGTGAAAATTAGTGGTGCCCTTTCCATTTTCAGGGGCGCTACAGAATACCGTAATCGCCCTTTAGGTTTTGTGTTGTGTGCTGTCGACTGACGAGGGAGTATTTTACAATAAGTGGTGCACACAGTTTACAGAACTTGCATGGATGCGGAGCGGAGAATCCTCAGGCTACTCGTCACTCTTCATTCCAGCAGAAATTTAATGTCAGCGCTTGGGTGCGAGTGGTAGATATTATAATCGCCTGGCCTTCACGTCCGGACATAACACCCCCACCACACCCCTACCCCACAATTATTATTTGTGGGGGAGTTTGAAGGGAAAATCTTTTGCCACAAAAGTTGGGGTTTTTGATGACATAATCGCATTGAATCAGGCCGACTACTTTCATGGGTATCCCAAACCCTATCAGAATATTGTACAATACTTCCCTAACTGAATCATAGGTTTTCTTGAAGTTAGGGTGATTAAAATGTGTTTAAATGAAACATATAGTAAAGTCCACATAAGTAAACATTTGTCTGATAATTTTCCTATCCAGAATGGTATAAAACGAGATTCTTTATCTCCACTGCTTTTCAACTTTGCTTTAGTATATGCTATTAGGTAGATCCAGGAACACCAGGTGGAGCTGAAATTAAATGGGACATGTGAGCTGTTGGTCTGTGATGATGATGTGAATCTACAGGGTGATAATACAGATCCACAATGATAAACACACAAACTTTAAATGATGTTAGTAAGAAGGTTGGTCTAGAAGTAAACACAGGTAAAACTTAAGTATATGTTGCTGTCTCATCACCAGAATGCAGAACAAAATCATGACATAAAGATAGCTAACAATGTTTTGAAAATGTACCACAGTTCAGATATTTGGGAATGACTATAACAATTCAAAACTAGATTCAGGAAGAAATTAAGATGAGACTGAACCCCGGTAATGCTTGCTACCGTTCAGTTCAGAACCTTTTGTCTTCTAGTCTAAAAACATAAAAATTAGAATACAAAACTGTAATTTTGTGATTCTGTATTGGTGTGAAATTTTGTCTCTGAAATTAAGAGAGGAACACAGACTGAGGGTGTTGAGAATAATTAGACTGAAGAGAGACAAAGTGACAGGATGTTGGAGGAAACTGCGTAATGAGCTTCATAACTCGAATTCTTCTTCAAATATAATTAGAATGATCAAGTCAAGGAGGATGAGGTGGGCAGGGCATGTAGCACAGATGGGGGAGAAGAGGAATCCATATAGGATATTGGTGGGAAATCCAGTAGGAAGGTCAAGATGTAGGTGGGTGAACAATATTAAAATGGATCTTCGAGAGGTAGGGTGGGATGATGTGGATTGGATTGATCTGGCTCAGGATAGAGACCAGTGGAGGGCTCTTGTTAACACAGTGATGAACCTTTGGGTTCCATAAAATGCTGGAAAGTTCTTGAGTAGT